ACGTATGTCTAAAGAAGAGATAGGAGACATTTTAGCTATTACAGCACAGACTAAAGCAAAAAACCTATTTCAGAACATGACCATAAAGGGTTTATTAAAATGGATCAGCTTATTCTTGCATGTAATAATTTGGAATGACGCAGTGTGTTGCATTAGTTCATTACAGCAGACACCAGAGGGGAAACTTTTAAGTTCAAAGCAAGAAACAATGAAGAGCACCAGTAAGACTGAACTGGGTGGCCAGAGAGATCTTTCTTTTCTATGTAGTGCCTTGTCCATTATCACATTTTTGTAGCATCCTAGGACAAAAAAGAATGTGAAGACCATGGTGTTTTGTTCCATTCATGGCCCACGAGAGAATCACTGCGTTTATGGGGTGATGAGTTGTGAACAGATGAGTAGAGGGAAGGGTCTGGCCCTGGCTGAGTCACCCGTATTGATGAGATGGGGCAGGGCAGGGGAGGAGGCAGCACAGTGAGGAAGTGTCAGAGTTCTGGGCTGGGGAAGCTCCATCTGCATCAGTGCTCTCAAGGGATGCTGTGGGATGGTGTTTTGAGAAGTGGCAAGATTAGAGCTCAGATTTTTGTTTGTGTTAGTGCATAGCAATTGCAGGAGGAGCCTGGCAGGTACAGTGTGGTGTTGATGATGCCTTTGGGTTTGGACCTGTGATGTCTTCTAGGTGACAGGGGCACCAGTGGGGCTGTCCCTGGGTATGGGTCAGCAGACAAGGACGATATAGGATCTTGCTCGTAGCCCTCTTAATCTGGAGCCAAAAGCCAGGTGTCCAAGACAAGAGCAGAGATGAAAGGCAGTCCTGGTTTGACAGGAGGAGGTTGCTTTCCCACAGAGTGGAGGTAGCAGTTACATTTCCTCCAGTACAGCTAAAAAAAAAAATGAGCCTGTTTGAGTGTAGCCTTGGATGCCCCTCCTCTCAAGAAATTTAGGGAATAGTGCTAGGGAAGGTCCTCTAAAAGGAGGAGTAGGGCAGCTACAGACAGCCATGAAAAAACACGAAACAGGACAAATGTCTCAAGAACAGGAAGTGCTCAGAATAGTTAGACTCTTTGATTTAAGCAACTGTGATGCACTGTAAGGCCCAGGAAAATACACAAATCTACCTATGGTTGTTTTTTAACAGACGTGATTATTTTCAACAATAATTAGTTGTCTTTTGATGTCAGGGTACTTCTGGTATCATAAATTACAGAAGGAATGGGCCCAGTGTTTTTCTAAATCTGGTTTTCATCGGTGGTGTTTTGACATTTTCTATTTTGCTTTTATCAAATGTAGGTACTCTTTCTATTTGATATTTTGTATAGTATTTTTGTCTGCAATGTAGCTCTTACTTGTTCTTTGATAGTCAGTCTCTTGGGTTAAATGTTAAACAGATTGCAGTTGTCATATCAGGGCCTTTCAAGAGTGTTGCTGGCATAAAACTTAATTTTTCTTTTTTTTCTTCATCAAACTGAAAATTTGTGCTTTCCATTAAAAAACAATGTGTTTTCAGCTCCTCTAAGGAGTGTCCTTTGGGACACTTAAGATATATTAAAATACTGAGACCAAGTAATGAGAAATCCAGGAAATGATTGTGCCACATTTTTGCATATTGTTAAATTATTTGAAGATGCCTGAGCTAAAAAGGCTTCTCCTCTCTTGGAAGGAGTACTTAGACTTCTCCTGACACCTAGCCTGGAATGCCTGGGGTACCACCTCATAATGCCATCATAATCCCACTCCCCTTTCCCCCTCCTGATTCATATCAGTAGAAAAACTGGTGCTATTGTTAATTAATTGATAATTTTTTATTTGGAATACTTCTGGAGGAAAAGATACCGTGTTGGTGGAGCTTACTGTATGGGAAGGATTGTGTTATACAAAAATTGCCATCAGCACTGCAGATACAGCTTGGGGGCAAACAATGCTTTAAGTTTTTAATTGCTGGTGCCTTGCAAAAACTAAACTCAACCCAGTCTTAGAGTAGTGCACCCTTCTGTGGTGTACCAAAGGAAACTGCAACTAAGGATTAGTAGCTAAAGGATTATTTCTTTGGCAGAATAATCTGTAATTCTGCTGACTGAAGACAGCTCCAGCAAAAATGCTGTAAAATAACTGTCTGGCAATCCAAGGGAAACAGGGATACACAACAGAAAACAACAGGCACGATAACATTGCACCTTCATGCTCCTGTTCACATCAGTCAGCTTTCAAAAATGATAGACTGGGAAGCTGTGGAAAATTGCATACAAGTGCACCAGCAACAGTTCTCACTTTCATGTTTTTCATAAAAGCCAAGCTGCCCTTTATGGGCTATTAATTTGGGAAGCCATTTATCTCAGGGCAAGACTTTATTTACACAACCTAACATAAAGACAGGAAATTGTGGCCTGGGATTTAAAAATGTCACTGCACATGATGCCAGGATAAACATCACAGAAATTTATTTCAGTTGCATCCACCCTGGCACTCACAAATAATTTTTTTTTTATTGCCTTTTGGCACTACGTTATTTCCCTATTCACCTGCAACAAAGCTCCCTCTAAGCCAAAGAAATACATGTCCATCGAACAGAAACTTTCTTCATAAAAATTGGAATAATTAGGTATTCTAGCTCTGTGCCTGAGAGAGATTAAAAGGATATTTTTGTGCTGTGGCAGGGACCACTTTAATTTTCCAGTGGCTTCCTTCTTTACCACTATCTTTGTCTTCTTTACCTGTTACTTTCCTCAGATGTAAAGTCAGGGGGAGGAGCCTCAGGAGGGCTCCTGTGGCACACATTCATTGTGTGTTGTGCTCGTGCAGCTCAGAGCCAGTGGGACAATCCAAGCCCTTCCTCTCCAGCACTGCCCCAAGGGGTCCTGAGACATTCCTCCACTTTTCCCCACTTTTATCTCTGTGGGATTCTCTTCTTTTGAAGTTGTTTTGACCTTCTGCCAAGAAAAGGTCAAGCCAAGATGCAGGTGTTCTAAGGCAATCTCTCCTTAGTAGGATTTCCTAGGGTCTTGGGCAGAGACCTTCTTTTCCATTTTGAGCAATCTGTTTTGTGCAATAAACACTGAGTATGTTTCTCTGTTGCTATAGAAATAATATTTCATTAAATGAGGGAATCAGTGCCCTGCTGTCGACAAATCTAATCTAAGTGTTAGTCTCTAGAGCTTGAATTTCACCGCTGGGAAGAGGTATACATAATTCTGCAAATTATTTCTGTAACTTTTGCATAAATGCCTTTATACTTTGCAACTGTTAGCTAAATTTCCCAAAGTGATAGCATGGAGTTTAACATGGTGTAATGTGTTTACATGGATCTGAACAGAGCTTTCCCTCCTTGCATTTCCCCACCCTCCCCCATACGTTTTCATATTTAGAGCTTGAAATTTCCGACTCTCATAGGAAAATGGGAAGTGGCAGTAAAAGCAGCATTCTCAGCCAGGTTCCTTACCCCACGGACAGCAGTGTGCCAGGTTTATCTGAATTTTTGGTTTTATTTTTTTAAAATTCAGCGTCTCCAAGTACTGTAGATGTTATTTGCTTTGCTTTTTCTGGGATTAACAAGAACAGCCTAAACTGACCATTAATATACCCCAAAAAAGTGATCTGCTCTCCACTACTTTCTAGACTCCCCTGGGTAGCATATGCCCAGTATTTGTCAAGTTACTCAAAGATTTCCCTACAATAACTTTCTACCCTCTGCAGCAGTTAAACCCAAGGGAGTTGTGGATTTTGACTTAATGCACCTCATATCAATGTCCTTACATTTAGCCATAATTTAGACCTTATATGGTTTTTTCTCAGTATTTTTCTAAAGCTGTAGGATTCTGGTAACAGCAATAAGGTGGTACTAAAGCCTGTAACTGTAGGGTATGTAAAACAAAATGTTGTTAGTGCTTGTCAACATATTCATCATAAGTATTATGAAGAAATTGTAAAAAGCTTTTTTATCTCATAGTTGCAATACAGGAACCCATCTATGCATTTCTGTGTATAAGGTATGTGTGTAGTTAGGAAGGTAGAACACAGTTTAAAAGTACATGATGATTGATTGGCATGGACCCGTGTGCAAGTGTATGTTAGAAACCTAAATTCAGAGTTCTTGTAAAAATCCTGTTACAGCTTTTGGTTAAAAAATGGAGTTATTATTTGTGAAATGGGCCCATGCTAGATGTGTCTTATATATTGCAGGACAAAACCAATTTATACATGTTCATTTAATTCATTAATAATAATCATATCAATGGCCTCTAATTAAACATTAGTCTTGAGAAAACATAGGAATACCTCTGTAATCATTAGAAGAAAATAATTACTCTTTAAAAACTTCCTTTCTAAATTTTTCAGTGACTGTAAATCAATCTTTCAATAAGATAAATCTTCATAGGCAGGGACAAATTCCTGACATCCAGAAGAGTACCTGTATGGATAAGCATATTAATATAAAGGCAGGGATGCAGGGAAAACTAGCAAAGTACACAACTACATTTTTTTTATTTAATGTCATGCTTATCATTAAAAGAGACTCATCATATAAATAAGTCACTATAAGACACTGATTACATTTTTGCTGTTAAAATAGTTCATGTAATGAATAAAGAAAAACAAACCTCAAACCCAACAACCCTTTATTTTGTTTCACTGCCATAAAACGTCAGCCAGAAGTTGACCTGGTTTTTACCCTTGTGCTGTTACACCATCCAAAGCTGCTGCATTTTTTCACCACATCCTCAGTCTGTAGATGAAAAGAGTCAGCTGAAGCTCCTGGTGGAAAGCAATGCCCATGGCATCACCTACTGCTGTGCTCTCTGCTGGGTCCTTCAGGCCAGCTACTGAAAATGGCTAAGGCCTTGGTAAGGGAGGGACAGGGCTGGGTGGATGTACAGGGATAAAGATCACATCTAATACACAATATTTCCTTACTATGCACAGTTCCATAAACAAAAGCTAACAATGAAGGTGAGGGAAAAACCATAAACACTCAAATGTTTTGTTGTTTTGTTTTTTTCCTTTAGGAACTCGATGGAAAAAAAGCCAAGAGCAAGATTTAAAGGATGTTCTGAAGAACACTGACCAGGACATACCACTGGTATTCGTCAGTGGGAATCATGATATTGGCAATACTCCAACGAGAGAGACCATAGATGATTATTGCAAGAACTGGGGAGATGACTACTTCAGCTTTTGGGTTGGAGGTGTTTTTTTTCTTGTGTTGAATTCTCAGCTATACTTTGATTCCTCCAAATGCCGTGAGTTAAGGCAAGCCCAGGATGCCTGGCTTGATGAGCAGCTGGCTGCTGCTGCAAACCAGAAATGCAAGCATATAATTGTATTTCAGCACATCCCTCTGTTTCTGAGCAAACCTGATGAAGACGACGATTATTTCAACTTGGATAAATCAGTTCGTCAGGAGATAATGGAAAAGTTTCATAAAGCAGGTATTTTCTCAAACTTTCCTATTCTGGAATTTTTGCAAATTGTTAATGGCTCTGCTGCCAGACAAAATACATTTAAGTGAAATGGTACTGTTTCCAAGGGATTTTTGAATACAGCTTATAAGTCTCATTTTTTCCCGTAGATCAATACTATCAACTGAATCTAGTCACCTGTAAAAAGTACCAAACAAAATTTAAAACTTTGAAATGTAAAAAGCTAAACATGAAAAGTTCTTTAACATAAATAGCAAGGGTTCCACTTTGCAAGTACTGACAGATACAAGACAACCTGAGTTTTTCCTGCCTACAGAGGGGAAGATCAGGTATTACCATAGGAGAAAAATACAGAATTTGTGTTTTACGTAAAACATAGAAACAGAATTCACAATTACCTTGGGGGTTGCTTTCTCCCACACTGAACCAATTTTAAACCAAGAGTGTAATGCACCCCAGATTTATTCAGTGTTAAAACAAGTCTTGCTCTGCTAAAATCAATCCTTTGCACATCCGTTTCTAATAGGGGCCATGTCTGGGATGAAGGGCAGGTGGAGCATGTGCTACATGAGTAATTGTACCAAATCCCTCAGCTTTGTGTGATCCCACTTGAGCACCATGGAGACAGGCGCAGTACACAGCTACTCCTCCATGCTGTTCCTATTGTTTTCTGGTAATTGCCTTCATGTTCCTGGAGTGTGCCAGTTCCTCAAAATTTCCTGCCACCCTGTGATCGCTGCATCAGAATGTCATTTTCTCTGTATCTGTAAGAGAGCGCATTATTTGGATTACTGAACAATGCAAATTTTTTATGATGTTGTTCCTAATCTACCATCTAATTGTTAAGCCTGGCCTCATCTAACTCAGCCTAATATCCAAGCTCTCAATTTCCTACTGTTTCCAGTCAGTGGGGCCAAAATTCACAGCTATCTGAGGGCTCTCCAGGGCACTGATATATTTGCAGATTCAAGATTTACGGGTGGGGTTTTTTTCCCCATAAGGAGACACGCTGAGAACACCTCATTTTTTTTTTTTTTTCATTTTTGTGTCAGTGTTAGTATAGTGGGAAGTGTTGCTCTTAGAGAGCTGGGCAGCTGTGACTGCCTGTGTACCATAGACTGCAGCACATCCTAGCTCATGGGTGTATCCCAGGAAATAGGCATTAATGTGGGAACCAAAGCAGTTCTGTTCTAGGGTTTTCTGTCAACCAGTTGGTTTACTAACATTTGACAACACTCAGTACTGGGAATAAAATTGATCAAGAGGTCAAAGAAATGTTATCATTGTAACATTGTTGTTACATTGTCATGTTTCTTAGAAAGGTGTCCAGAGGCTTAACCAGAAGTTGGGAAGGCTTCAAATGATGGGGGAAAGAAATGGAATGGGAAGAGAGCAATACAACTCTAGAGAAGAAATTCCCAAACTCCTTTCTGTGCCACTTTTTCTGTTACCCCCATCATTTCTTCTTGTGTCCTCATTCCCATCTCTTATAAATTGTTTGGTTCCTTAATGAGTGTGTTTAAACACTCATCTGTGGCATGCTCATTACTATACACTGAGTCAATAGGTAACATTTGCAAGTCAATAATCAAACATTTTGCTAATGAAATGAATACAGAGAACAGGCAGCTCAGTAACTCAGACTGCTGAGAAAAATGAACTGAATCAAAAGTTGGCTGAGTTACCTTAGTAACGGGTGCATTCTGTTTCCATTTTATTATTCCATCTCAGAGCAGCCTTTGTGAGACCACAGAGGTCTCAGTGGGTTGCAGAGAGGCTGTTGGCATGGTGGGGTAGAGGCACAGAGATGCAGGGACACCACTTGCTTTCTGAACCTCTGCTTTGTCAAAGAATAATCAAGTTTAGCACATTAAATTGTTTTTCCCCCAGTTCACTTCGTACATTCTTGGAGGATTAAAACACAGAATATTGCTAATGAAATCCCAACATACATTGCTTTTATTTTTAATTTAGAAATTTGGTATAACACTTTATTCTGCAAAAAGAAAGTCAGTCTGCCTTTTTTAGGAGACCACCAGGCTGCCACTATTTTTCTCCCCCAACCTGTCACCAGTCCTTCTTTCCTTCCTTCCTTCTGCCTCTTGCTGTTTCAGTGCTTGGAACTGTGTTTGTTGTGTCATCATGTCAGTAACATGCATGGTTTAGGGTGTTTGGCACTATTAGATGGGCAACATATTTCATTTGTTTATAACCCAGGATCAAACCTGGAATTACCCCAGTTCTCATGTTTATACTTTTTTAGAGGTGTCAAACATGGAGTCATAACTCAGCAGTTTAGAGAGGTACAGGAAAGGAAAGATAATCTAATAATTCAGGTCTTTCTGAGAACAAAGAAATTCATATGGATTGTGTAGGAAATAGTCAGATACTTAAAGTATGGTCATATGGTCACATGCTCACAGATGCTTTAAACTGAGGTATACAACTTCAGAAAATTCTTATTTTAATTCCAAAGCCCAGGTCTTCTGTAGTTATTTTCTACTAATCACTCCCATGTTACATAATGGTTTTGGTGTAAGTATCTGCTCATTACAAGCAGAGATAAAAGACTAGCTGTAGAGGCTACATCTGGTGTGAAATACTGAATTACATTTCTCACATTAGACGTGTCCTTAACAGTTGGGCTAATTAAAGATAAAATCATGTCCTTATGATAAATATTTATAATTGAAAATCTGGCACTTGTAAATATGTATTACTACTGTGCAAAGTTAAACCATACTTGTAAGCTGCATGTGTAAGAAATCCTACTAGACTATGTTTATTTTAAATGCATTAGAACAACTATTGTCCTTGAAAATGTGACTTCAGTCACAGTGAAAACCAACTCAATTGAGAACAGAGTTCAACATTTAAGTAGAGACACCTTTCTGGAGGAACCACTCTCTATACCTTCCAGTATAACTTCTGCAAGTTAAGCCTAAGTTGTCAAAGTTCTGTCTCTTCTACGTGCAGATGTTAAGTACAGAAAAAACCCGTGTGCAAGAACTGTGAAAGAGCTGACCTGACGTTCTCATCTGTCACATCTGCTGGAGTCACTCGGCTCTGCTGCATGAAATGCATATTCCGCTTTTAAGGATTTTACAGTGCTGATATAAATAGGTTTCCTCATAGCACTGTAAAGAAAATAAAGAAGTTGTAATGGTCTAGCCAGAAATCTGGACTGCAAGTCATGTGTGTTTGTTAAACATAAGCAGATAATTAAGTTTTCAAATAAGGCAGTTTATGTAATAGAAGACCTACTTTTTCTTACATATCTCATTCCAGTAAAATTTTCTTAAGGCATTAAATATTTTTTTCTATGACCTGAAAAGTATGGGTATTTTTGGTGAGCTATAATCAATCTTTTAAAGACTTTTTGTCCTTAGAACCATCACTGACACACTGAGCATTACTTATATTAGTTAATGCAATATAGAAATAAATGTTTCTTAATGGCACAAATAAACTAAAGCATTTTAAGTGAATGTCTGAACTTGTTTAGGAGCTCTTTTGAATAAAACCTAAATTAGTAGATGGTTTTTCACCAAAAGGGTTGAAAAAAGACTTTGTTTCAGAGTTAGAATATAGGTGGTCTGTATAGCTGAGAGAGGATGCATCTTAGAGAAAATAACTAGACAAAAATAGAAATATACGGAGGGAAATTCACTACAGTCTTCAGCTTCTTTTAATTAAAAAGTTTTCAATTCATCTAAGTGTCTTCAAAGCAATTTTTCAGATGTGGTTAAAAGTACTTAATATGCACATAGGGGCAAAAATAACAACCTAACTTCATTAAATGGTGTATTTTTTCATTTTATTTGTGACTGGAGGTGCTGTAACTTCTAACACCTTTACTCATTAAAAGACTGTGATATATCTAAATTCTCCTCTTAGAAATGTTGTGACAGGAGAGCAGTGTTAAAGGAAGAAGAAGCTCTCAGAACATCCACAGCTGAGATATATTTGAGCACAAAATTAAAGCATGGAGTGTTGAAAGCTGTTGTTTCTAAAATTTACCAGACAACATATGCTATGTTTCATTATTTTCTTTGTTGTGTAATCAGAGTTGACAGGGGAGTAATATTTTCATCTTCCTGCCATTGAGACCTTGATTTTGGCAAAGCCCATACATTGAGTGAGTAATCTCAGTGCTTATGTGTCAGTATTTAAAATAATTTAAATACTCTCAACTTCAGTGATTTAGAGCAACCTCTTTCAAGGTTGCAATTATGCACTTATGGCCCAGGTAGAGTGACCACATTTGATATATTCTGTGTAAGAACAGTTCCCTGGGTATGGTAATGTAAATCTTGCTTGGAGATACACATAGAGATTTTTAATTTTTTTTTCAGATACTCAGTAGCAAGTACAAAATACATACAGTCTGCAAGGACATTAAGTAATATTTGTTCTCAGATAAGTTTTTGAAATCACTTTTATCCACTGGGCTAAAGCTTCTCCTTGATCCTTAGAGCACACAGCAATCCAGTACTTTTTGAGGTTTGTGTCAGTTCTCTGAGAAAGCATCACTTTTAAATGGAAAAAAAGTAACAAAACCAGGAAGTAAATTCCACTGAAAGGTCACAAGAGGCATTCACAAAAACGAATTTGAAGGCCAGAGTGACCTTTTAGAGACAGGACCTCTAAAGGCTTATTTAGACCAGTGCTTTAATTAGGTCATCTGGAATCACCCTCTGGCTGTGCCTGTTGCTACTCTTCTGATTATATAGGAAAAACAAGTGACACTAAAACTTTTCTATATAGCTCTATTTAGTATTGTCTGATAGAAAGAAGCTCTTGACATAAATTCACTTCTCAAAGTAATATTTCCTCTCCTACTTACACAGACCCACTGATCACCAGCCACACCAAACTCCTGATTCTTTAGGGTACAAAGCAAAGTTAAGGCAAAGGTTTCCTGCATGTTTGCAGGATGTTTGCAAACAAAAATCCATGGGATATTTTTATTGAGTTGCTTATAGAGCTGTGCAATGTAAATTCTAATT